CCTCCAAGCCAGTGTTGGGTCCCAGCGGCTCCCCGACGACTGAGAACATTCCAGGAGACCTCCAAGGCTCCCCTTCAGGGCTGCCACAGGGCAGGAGCAGCAGGAGCCTACAGAGCCCCTCCCAGATCCCACCTCGTGTTCCACCCTCCCGTGGGGTGAAGTAGGGTTTACTGGTGCCTGTGGCCTAGTCCCACCTAAATCCCGCTGCCTAGAATCCTGGCCAGAGCCGACCTTTAACCTGCCCTTTGATTTTCTTCCCGCTTTGATTTTTTTGGGGTTGTTTTTTTTTGTTTTGTTTTTACCCCTTTCCATCCCTCCTTCCTTCCAGGAATGAGACTTTCTACACCTTTCCTCTCACGGTCCTCCCTCTTCCCCTCGGTCGGCCTGCAGCAAGGCCAGCACCACCCCCTCCCTCAAAGGAAACAGCAGGGGAGGACCCTGTCCACCCAAAACGGTCTGGCCACCTCCGCCCCACCCCACCCCCACCGGGGGGGGAGCGGAGCCAGACAGCGCCTGCGCCCTCCTCTTCCTGTCCACTGACCCGCAGTTTCTCCCGTCTGAGAAGATCTGTTGGATAAGAAGGCGTGTAAGTCCCCGCTGTAGGTCCAGGTCCAGGCCCAGGCCCAGCCCTTCAGTTTCCGTCCCGGTGAGCGTCAACCCCCCTCTCCTCCCGGGCTCACTTTCTTCGGTCCTTTGGCTTCCTCTCCTGTCGCCGGGCCTGCTGGTCAGCCAGGGTGCGGGGAATGAGGAGGACACTGCCGTCCCCGGCATACTGGAGTGCGTACTGACTGGGCGAGTAGGGCCGCCCGTTCTCATCCCGCAGCCGCCCAAACACCTCCTGGTACAGGCTCTGGACCTTCTGCTTCATCTGCCGCAGGGACCGGAGGAACTCGACCTTCTCCCGCAGCAGGCGAGCCTTATCGCGCTGCAGGTCCTCCACATCCCGCTCCAGGTTCAGGATGGTGTCCAGCTTGCGTTTGCGGCAGTTCTGGGCGGCCATCTTGTTCTTGCCCCGGCGCCGGATGTCGCGGATGAGGCTCAGCTGGGCCTCGCTCAGCTGGTACTTGGACAGCAGCTCGTTGAACTCCTCCACGGGCAGGTTAATGATTTTGTCGTTGGTGAAGGGGATCTTCATGGCTCTGGCTCGATGCTCATCACGGCTCATCTGCTTGTCGAGGAAGTCGGCCTGTTTCTCCTTGCTGCCTTTCTTGAGGGCGCTGGGCGGCGGCAGGTCGGCAGAGTCGAGGGCGCTGGGCGCCATGTTGTACGTGTGGTTGTGGCCCACGTGCTCCAAGTAGGGCAGGCAGGAGAGCTGAGACGGATCCTGGTAGCTCATGCGGCAGAACTTGGAATACTCAGGCTGGTAACCCACGGCGCCCTCGGCCTCTTCCAGATCCAGGGTCTCAGAGTCAGAGCTGTAGCCAACAGCACCTTCCTCAGAAAAGGAGGAAGAAGCGGAGGAAGAGGACGAGGAAGAGGACGAGGATGAAGAGGAGGAGGAGGAGGAGGAGGAAGAGGAGGAGGAAGAGGAGCTGCCTTCTGAGCTGCTCAGGGAGGAAGGGCTATGGCTGGAGTCCAAGGAGAGGCCTGAGTCAGAGTCAAACTCCTCCTCGAGCTGGGAGGCCTGCACGGGGTTAAAGCCCTCTTCGATGGCCAGGTCCATCAGGCTGATCTCGTCCAGCATGGCTTCGTCTAACAGGCCCCCCAGCGGGTCAGGCAGCTCGGGGCCTGCTGTGTCGTTGGCTGTGCCGTTGAGCTGGGGTGGAAAGAAGAGCCCCGCCAGGTTGGTGGAGCCAAAGGTGGAGTTGAGGCTGGTGGAATTGCTGGGGACCAGCGGGAGCAGCGTGGAGCTGCTGGCCACAGGCAGGCTCTCCACCTCGGGACTGAAGAGTGAGAAGTCCTGGCTGCAGCCCCCCAGGGACGCCTGATGCAGGCTGACATTCTGATTGATGGGAGTGTTGGGGGCAAGGCTGTAGTTGGTGCTCAGGGGGTCTCCAGGAGGGGCACTGTACAGGATCTCGTTTGTTGAAGTGTTCACTTCCATGGCCTGGGAGGGGAGAAGAGCACCACCGTTCACTCTGAGCAGACTCCCTCCCCCAGTGTGGCTGGGGGCACAGCGGGCACCTGACGCAGGCACGGTTGCATGGGTACAAGGGCGACACACTGGAATCCAGAGCCCAGGGGTCAGCTCCTGGCCCTGCTTGGTCCACTGGCGGAGATGGTTCCTCCCTGGAGACCCCACCCCAAGGCAGGACTGCCCGGCTCCCGCTTGTGTTTGGCCAGACTCCCCCACACCTCAGAGAGAGAGGAAGAGAACACCTAACACTGCCCACCTCCTCGGTGCAAAATCCACACATTCAAAAGAACACCAGTCTTGGGAGTGAGAAAACCTAGCTGCGCTGCTTGCTGTGTGACCATGGGCACATCACTTAACCTCTCTGAGTTCCAATTTCCTCACCTTTAAGACAACAAAGGGCTAACTAGACGACTGTAAGGATCAGGAAAGATGACAATAGCTATAAAGCACCGTGTGAATGTCTAGTTTTATCAATGCTAAGCCCCGGAAGCACTCAGTCGAGTGACTGCCTACCTAAAGGAAAGGAAGAAGGCATACCAAGAAGACGGTCCTGCTTTAGAAGGCTCAGCCCTGGGGTTTTTACCCAAACCCCAATCCTGATTTTACCCCGTACCCCAAGGAGACACCTGGACAATGACCTCTCAGTGTCCCCACTTCCCTGAGATCAGAGAAAAGCGTGACTTTCTGTTCCAGAGGTGGAAAAGCAACTGAGCGCTAAAACACTCCCCACACTGTCCGATAGGATCGTGGCCCATTTTAATAATCCTACCTGCATTTCCATAATAGACATGAGATCTTGCCACTGCTGCTCCAAATCAAATGGCGAGTCTGTCCCCGTCAGGAGAGGAGACAAGAGGTTGTTCTGAAGGCCTGGGGGCTCGCTCTCGCTAGGCACTGCTTCTGTTATGCTGGAAATGTCTGCTGGAAACTAGGGCAAAACACAGAGGCTTTAACGAGGCGAAGGAAAGACCACCTTCTGCGTTCCTCCCAGAGACTACCACCTGAGGTTCTGTTTCTTCCTTCCTCTGAGTTCACCCCCAGCAGCCAGAACAAGGCCAGCACCAGGACCTGGCCCCTCAGGCAGCCGCAGAGGGGGACACGGTGTGCAGGCCACCCTGCTGGCTCAGTGGGCTCTCCCTGGAGTCCTGCTCACCTCAGCATTCTCCCCAAAGGGGCAGGTGGCCTCCAGCAGCCTAAGGCACTCTTCCAGGGACAGGGCCGTCTGGTCCTCCCCACCAGGCACCTGTGGCAACAGCAACTGTAAGTCTGACTGACCTGGGCCTTGGCTGCCTGCGGGCCAAGGCCTCTTCCCCAGCCTTTCCAAGGGGGAAGCTGAAGGAGGACGTGTATGGTTACAGGCCTGCACTCTCCCTCTGTTCCCGGGCTAACGGCTGGCCCTGAGTCCCAAACTCCAGGAAAGAACGGAGGGAGAGTGGAAGCGTCCTCGCGCAAACAGGAAGCTGCTAGGTGCTTTGCCTCCTCTGCTGTTTGTTACCAAGGCCTGGCCCCTCTGCTTCTGTTGCTCATCCACTCCCCCTTCCTCAGTCCAAGCGACTTAGAGACCCAGCCCGCAAGATACATTCAGGTTCGTCCCACAGACAGAACCTGCCTTCTGTGAGGACGGGTTTCTAGAAGTGGGCGGAGGCGAAGGTACCTGTGCAGGGAAGCTCTCCCCCGTTTCTCCATCCACTAGCAGGTTTCGTGCCAGAGCTTCTGCACCCTCGCCTGACCAGGTGTCGTCCTGCTCCGCTCCGTCTTGCAGCTCCTTGTCCACATCCTGCTCCTTCTGGCGATGACTATAGTCAAAAATCTCACGCCCAGCCCCCAGGTCAATATCCTGTCGCCAAAGGATGTCAATCAGATCTATGTCCTGAAAGACAGATCACCATGACTTTAGTTCTTGGATCCAAGGGCCCTTCCTAGCATCAACCTGGTAAGTCCTGGGAGTGGGGGGCAGCTCTCCCAGCTCCTGTCCCCTCTGTACCAACAAGGCTTCATTCATCCATTTCCAGATACCGGTCTCAAGAAAAAGAAAAAGAAAGAAAGAAGGAAAGCCCACAAACAAGAGCTAGTAAAAATGAGCAGCATGACCATCCCCACACAAGTCTGTGGGCTTAGGACCAGAGACACAGGCAGGCGACACAAGAAAAGAAGGGGGAAGCAGGAGACACTTCTCATTTTGGGAATGGGAATCCCTTAAAACTTGGGTTTGTAGGATGCTGGCCAGGCCAAGCAAGGGCGAACTGTCATGCAGAATTGCTTCCCGGTGGCCAGGCTTGCATCAGCCTATGGTGCCATTTCATTTGCATAAAGGGGTGGGGTGGGCCAGAGAGGAAAATCCCTGCATTTGCAACCACCTGATGCAACCAATGACAGCGACAGGCTGTCTCCGGCCCTTCCTACGGCCATCCTCCCTTCCCTGGCTGAGGAAGGAGTAAGGCAGAACACCCACAACTCTTAAAGCCCAGGCTCACCTCAAGATCCATCCCTGCCAGAATCCCCACTCTCAGCTGCTCCTAGCAAGCCGCCTCAGTCCCAAGAGAGCCTCAGGCAGTCAGCTGATCCTCACTGGGCACCCCACCCCTGCCAAGGCCGGCCCCTGGTGTCCCCTCACATGAGCGCGCTCACTCCCTCGCCACACCCCGGGACTCACTGACGCTCCGTCAGCCAGCCCACTCAAGGACGTGGACCCCATCACCGCTCAGCCACAACTGCCACCCCAGGCACCAAAATGCCTCCTTCCCACTCTACCCTGGTAGCTCCTGATCAGTTCCTGCACCAACTGCCACCCCCACTGCCACCAGCACAGAACACCAATAAGTAAGAGCCATTTGGGCTTCCTACACATGCCATCCCCTGTGGCCGAGGAAACCCTGAACTCTTGCCTTCCATTCAGAGAGTAAAAAAGCACTTTCCAGAAAGCAACATCCTCAGAGTAGACCCACCTCCCCAGCCCTGACCAGGTATCCCTTTCCCACCGAAACCCTCCCAGATCCTAAGACCTCCCAGGTGTACCTCTCCCTTTAGTCTCCCCCACATACACCAACCTGAACAGAAGCCCTGGACCCAGGAGCAGAGGGGGGCTGGGCCACCCGGTGACCAGCCAGCAAAGAGTTAAGGGGCCGGCTCCCTTTGGCATGGCCCCCACCACTGTGAGAGCTGCGGTCCAGGCGGGTCATGGTCTGCGAGATGAGCCCCGGGGCAGCTGGTGCCGGGAAGCCGGACAGGGGGCTGCAAGGAGCTCTTGGCTTGCAGGGAGCACACCAGGCTGGAAGGGTGGCCCCTTGCTAGCTCCAAGGGGCCCGAGGAGGGTGCCCCGCCCGTGCTGCTGCCTGGGCGGCCCAGCCCAGCCCCCTTCCTCCATCCTTGAGCAGCCCCCTCCCACCTCACAACCCCAGTTCCACTCAGGCGCCCGGCAGCCCCCACCCTGAGCTCACCGCAGAGGCTGCAGTGAGACGGGACTCCCACCCCATGCTCCGTGCTCAAGCTGCAGAGGAGAGCAAGCTCCCTCCGGGGCCTATCCTCCCGCTCCTCCCTCTCTCCCCCTCCCCACGCCCCCCAAACTTGTTACCTAGGCTGCAGCAAGGAGCCAATCCCCTCCCCCTCCCACCCCGCAGGTCACTGCTGAGGCTGCGGAGAGCCAATCCCCTCCCCCAGGTCAGCAGCTGGGCTGCGGAAAGAGCCAATCCCCTCCCACTGTCGTTACCTAGGCTGCGACGAGAGCCAATCTCCTCCCCCAAGTCTCCGCTGGAGATGCGGAAGGAGCCAATCCCCTCCCACCGCCTGTTACCTAGCTGCAGCCGGGAGCCAATCTCTGCACCAGGGCAGCTGGAGAAGCTGCCGCAAGGAACCAGCCCATCCCTGGGCCGCCTCCGTCTCCTCAAGGAGACGCACCCAGGGGCGGGCAGCCCCACCCAGCCCAGTCAGCCAGCCGGGGTGGCGCAGTGAGAGAGCACTGGGGGGAAGGGGTGCCACTCTCCCTCTTGTCGCATCCTGCTCACCCAGCCCACTCACGACTGGGCAGAAACCACTCCCACAGCTTTTGGGGGCATCTAGTTCTTCCCTGGAAGTGGAAGGAGTTTTCCGGTTTCTCAGAAGGGCTGTGGCCGGTCATCCTGAAGCCCAAGGATCACAAGCTGGGCTGGGCAGGAACCCAGTGCACCCGGCCCCGCTGTGAGCCAGGGGCTCGGTCACCCACCGACAGGCCGGAAGGGAGGAAGAAGGAAAGCCATCTGCACACAGGGCCGGCCAGGCCTAGCTCCGAGCAAGAGAAGAGGGACACAAGCCCGAAGGCCAGCACTGAAGGAGACAAGTGCTCTGCAACATCCTGGCCACAACTGTGTCCCACGATCCCGCTTTACCCCAGCTTTTTTCAAGAGCATTCTCTTCTGCCTGACCCCTGGCCCACATCTCTAAAGCAAGGAAGGAGAAAGCCGCCAACAGAATCAGGATCACAGTTCTGACTTCCATCCTCACTGCTGCAGCCCTTGAGCCTAAGGTCAGGTCAGGGACAGTATGTTCTCCTTGGTCACACACTGCTCCTCGCCGGGGAAGAGCTGTACACAAGCCACCCCCTGCGCTGGGCAGAGCGCCAACCTCGAGGGGAATCCTATCCCTGACAAGGGCCTGGGCTATGGCTGTCCATCGAACCGGCCTGGCAGCGGGGGAGCGCTTGCCACCCCGGGGATAATACCAGCTCCAGCAGCGCCTGTCACATGCTCTGGACCCGGGTATTTTTATCCCGGAGTTGCTGAGGAAATGTTGTTCTGGACACGTAATAACCCTCCCTTCCCCCACACCCAGTCTAGGCCCCTAAGGCTGACCCACCCCCAACCCCCCAATGGGAGGAGAGAAGGCCTGGAATCAGGGAACACACAACCTTCATGAAGGCCAAAAAATGGAAGAAAGCAGGGTCAAAGTCCCACCCCATTCTGCCCCAACCCTTCCAATTATATCCAAACATCCCACCCTATCCCATCCCAGGAGAGCTCCCAGCTGGAACAGGAATGGAGCTACACTTGCAGAGCGCCCAGGAGCAAGCCCAGTCACACCACCCTTGGGGAGCAACATCAGGGCAGGCGGACGGAAGAAGAGGCTGGGAGGCATACTTTGTCAGACCACCGTACCAAGACTGAAGCCCATTTGAACGAAAAGGACAGAGAAAGCAGAAAAAAAGCCGAAGTTCCCAGTGGCTCTGTAAAACATAGATGAGGCACTACAAGGTAAGGAATGCTTACAGCTCCCATGCTCAGATAATTCTAGTCTCTCTCAAAGCAGACCCAGCAAGAGCCAGCTGAGCATAGAGGAACCCCGGCACTACCGGACATTTGGGACCAGATCGATCCGGCGTTTGGGGCCTGTGCTATGCTTTTTAGTAAGTGTAGCAGCATCCCTGGCTTCTCCCTACTAGATGCCAACAGCAGCTCTTCCAGTTGGGACAACCAAACCGTCTCTGGGCACTGCCAGATACCCCTAGATGGGCAAAATCGCCCCCAGCTGAAGACCACTGGCCTAGAAGAAGCCACACGCTTTGACAGTCACTAGCATTCAAAGAAATGAGCTCAAGAACAGGCCTGAATTCAGGACAGGAGGCAAAGCCTGGTCTGACTGGTGGGCAGAAAACAGCCAAGATCTGCAGCACCTGTAAAACTTTCTACATACCCAACCCCCCTCCCCGAGACTCACAGCTCTGGAAAACCCAGGCCAGCGCAATCCAGCCTTCTCTTTCCCTAATGGTCAGGAGAGTGCAGCGGACCTTTTCTGAAGCTCCTGAAGGCCAAGCAGCAGGCCAGGGCCAAACACAGAGCTCAAAGTAGTCTTATCATCATGTTGGTGAGGTAGGAGCAGCAGGAGCCATTCATATCGTTAAAGGCAAGGACCTCACTTTCTGCCCAGAATGTCAGCCACATGTCAGGAGCTCAAAGGAAGTGGACTTAGGCAGCAGAATGCAGCTTCTAGCTCCCAGCCCTATCCTCCCTACTCCCTGCAACAGGCCTTCAGCAAGGAATGGGAGCCTTGGCCCTCTCCTGGCCAAGAGTAACTATCTAAATCTACCCCTTGGCTCAGGCCCAGGAGAGCCGACTTATCAAGGACCTTACAACAACAGGCCTGACCACAAAGGAGGAGAACTTCAGGATATGCATGTGTGTTTTGACGTGGGGGAGGTACAAGGCAAGAGTCCACAAACTATTTGTGTCTTAGCAACAGATCTACACCGCATCAAAGCCCATCACAACATGACTCCCTCCCCCACCCCGGGGCCTCCAGCAGTCATGTTGAAATCCAAGCAGTAAACACGCTGGCATGTTCTAGGAACCTCCCACTGCTCTGACGGTACATTTAGAGGTGGGTCAATGGTTCAACACAAGGAAATGCTCCCAGCCCCCAACCCCGGTCAGACAATTCAGCTCATTCCTGTCACCGAACAATGCCTGAGAGCCCCTCACCTCCACCCTGCCCAACCACCGATCTTTACAGGGCAAGTACCATGACCAAGCTCCTTCGGTACCACCCCACCCCTGTGACCCCAGATCCCTCTCGCCCACCCCGCCATGTGGCCACTAACCTCTTTGGTTAGGTCTCCACTGACTGGAGGGGCTACAGCTCCCAAATCCTCCAAATCTTCACTGAATCCCTGCTCCGTTTCGCTTTCTCGCACCCCGTTGTCCGGGCCTGTCACATCTTGGAGGCCACTGGAACTCTCGAGGGTAAGGCCTGAGCTGGGCTGGCTGCCAGAGACAGACCCCTCCGGATCCCGGTGGACCAGCCAGGCGTTTACCTCAGTGGTGGGCACCTGGAACCTGTCCAGGGCCCTCACCTGACTCAGGAGCCGCCGGGCAGTGAAGTAATTGTCCAGGTCTATGCTCTTGGGGTGGACACCATAGCCATCCAAGGTGTTCCTCAGGTTGTGGAACTGGGTCTGAGTATAGGCAGAACTGGGCCCCAGGATGATCTCCCGGAGCGGGGGGAGCTGTGAGGTCAGGTAAGTATCCACGTCCACCCGCACCCCAATCAAACTCAGCAGAATGGTGAACTGGAGGAGTCCTTCCGTTAAGTATTTCTTCAGAGAAAGCATTGCTGAAGGACCAGAATGTTTATGCTTTTTGGTTTTTAAATCTTCCAAAAGACAAATCAAGGCCACTGCTCTGCTGCTCCAGCCAGCAAGGTACCCTCCTCAGGGCCAAACCCTGTATCCCACCCTGGCAGAACACAGGGGCTGAGCTCCCGGATGGCCTCAGAGGAAAGCACGCCCTGTGAAGCCAAGGCCACACTCCAGACCACATTCACTTTTCCCTTCTCGATACCTCACCTCTGCACGTACAACTGTTGCTAACCCAGTCCAGGCCCTCAGGGCCCACGTGACTTACTGTCTCCACAGTCCACATACAGTCATTTCCTCACTCACGTCAGTTGTCCTCTCTGTGGATTCCACTGCAGGCTGTTCTCAGGAACAGCTGATGGATTTTTTTTTTTTTTTCTTTCTCCCTAAGGTTTATTTTCTTTGGCTGGAGCTACAGGCCTTTTGTCTTGGGTCAGAGTGTCCCGCCTCCTCCACACTTACCAGGGGGGTTTCCAGAGAAACCTGAAATGGGAATCACAAGAGCAACAGGATAAGATTCTAGAATTTTCACACCATGATCAAGGCAGAAGTCAGGAAACACATTCAAACGCCACTTTTATATTTTATTGAAAAAATATCCCAGAGAAACAAAAACCAAAAATCTGTTATAAGCAGGAAAACTACGAAAGGAAAATACTGCTCACAAAGGATCCCAGTCTCTGGATATTAAATGTGTAATACCCTAAAAGGTAGCTTGTGTGGGATAAGCAGACAATGCCCGGGGCATCCAAAATATTTTACATGTGGTCTGATTTACCAACCCTCCCCCACTTCATCCACACACTACCCAGCTTCTATTTTTAGCCCGAAAAGCCTATTTCCTATCTTCAAGAAAAGTTGATTTCCCATCTCAGGAGAAAACTACCCACAACCCCTGTCCCTTCCAGTTCTAAAGGGAGAGAGAGGCTATTAGTGAGAGAAGAGCGCAAAAGGACAGGAGGACAACGTTCAGGACGCCACTTGGCAAAAGAATAATGCCTTTTGTCTTCCCAGCTTTAAAATATTAATTCCTTTTCCTATCTCTCATATAAAAGGGGGGCTGAGAATACTGAGGGGTGAGGTGGTGAGGCAGGATTATTTGACCCATAATTTGCATAGGCAGGTTTTATTTTCATTCATATGACCTTCTGAGCCAAAATAGAAGGATAAGGCCAAGTTCTCAAGCCAGATAGCCAAGTGGGGAGGGAGTAAATCTGCCTTTCAGTTTCTAGTCTCAACTTTTCAGCTTCCATTAACCTCATAAACCAAGGTAACTCTCTTCACTGTCGTGACCCACCTACCAACTTCATCTTAAGGGGGACGAGGGACGGACGGACAGACGGACGGACACACACACACCCCTTATTTGGTTAAAGTAAACAAAACTGCGACCCAGAATTCTTGCTTACACTACCCTCCCATTCTCACGCAATTTATGACTAAAACCCCCCAAGAGACAGTTCACTTCGAGAAACTGGACAAGGCCCCTTAAAGACGGAGTAAGGCCAGAGGCCTCTGGTCTGAGCCCGCTCCCACCCCGCCCCGGATACCCGAGTCCGGCTGGGACCAAGTCGCCATGCCCGCTGTCGGCGCCTGGGCTTCTAGCCTTCTGGGGCAACAGCGAACAAGTGCTACTCGGCCGGCCTTGACCCACCCTCACAGCCAAACCCCACCCCGCCCTCCGTCCGGATGGCCCCACCCCGTCCAGGCCCGGGCCTCACACCACGCCTTCTAGCGCCCTCAGCCCTCCCCAGCCCAACCCACCCCCGAGCAGGCTCTCTCCACGGCCTCGCGGCCCCTCCCAGCCAGGCCCAGGGCCCGGGCCCGACGCGAACCTCGCTCACCCGCCGTTCCCGCCTCCTGCCCCTGGGCTCCACCCCGCCGCCCTTCACCCCACAAGCCTCGGCCCCGCGGCGCTACGCCCCTCGCGTCGGGAAAAGGAGTGTGCCTGATACCCGCTGCAGAGCTCGGCGTCCGCCGCTGCCGCCACAGCAGGCCCTCAGCCCGAGTCCCGGCCTTGCACCCGCCACCACCGGCCGGCCTAGAGCTCCCCAGCCTCCGCTTCCCTCCCCGCCCCCTCCTCCCACCTCACTCGGAAGCCCGCCCTCCGCGTCTTTCCTAGGAACACGTTTCTCCAATCAGCGAGCCGAGACAGCGGCCTTCGCCGGATGTCATTTTGATTGACAGCCGAAAGAGCCCAATGGCTGAGCGTGTCTCCTCCTCCTCCCTTTCCCCATTTCCCAAGACTGACATGGCCCATGGCCTAGTGGACGCGTAGGCCCGCCCCGCGGCGTGGGCTCACCAATAACTGGGGCGAAGGCCCTAGAGCCCGGCATTCTGGCCTCTCCGCCGTGCGTCGGCCACCCGAGGTATTACAGGCTGGGCGCCGAGTAAAGTGTGCAAGCTGATGGCTCCTAGTGCGTTCTTCAGCCAGGGGATGAGGGCCTGGGGCCGGGAGTGAGAGGCGGTATCGCTGCCGGAGCGCGGAATTCCCCCCCAGAAGGTTCCCACGGTGACTTGCAAAAGTCCAGTGAGACCTGAGGGGGCCGAGGCGGGACACAGAGCATGTGTTTCCCGCGGCGGCGACGCTCGAGCCACCATATTGAATGCTGGCAGCGGAAACCGCTATCGCTGCTTCCGCTCTGTGCGAACCTGGCACGGCGACCCGCGCCAGTCAGGGATGGTTGCGTCGCAGGTCCCAGGCAAGGGTCGCATCGCGGGAATGGCCCTGCGGGCGGGTTTCCACGACGTTGGTGGGACGTTGGCGGTGGGAGGGATGTGGCATAATTAGCTATTTTCGTCGTGATAGAAATACCCTGTAGAGCTCTTCTTCCCCGTCTTGTCTCCCGAGTCCATCCAACCACGGAGCTTAGTCTTGCCTTTCAGGAACTTTCCTCGCGTTCAGGTGCTGGCCTATCTCGCTTAGCCAACAACCTTGTGGTTTTCAAACATTGCTTTCTCCCCCAGCATCACTTCGGGGAGCTTGTCAAACCTACAAACTCTGAAGCCTCACTCCAAAGATCCTGATTCACTTAGCCCTGGGGGGCGGGGGGGCGGCGGGGAGGGCCTGATCACCTGCCCGCTTAGTAGCGACTTGGGTCATTTTAATGCAGTTAGTCCTAAGACCACCTTTAGGCAATCACTGAGTTGAAGTTCGTAGTATTTTGTTCTCAGCTGTGGGACAAAGAGGCATCAACTCAAATGCCTGAGCCCAGGACGCTCCTTGTAATCAAGTGGGCAAAGCATTGGTTCTTGTACAACTAAGGAGAAGGCCAACCACTGACTCTTCAGATAAAAACATGGAATCCTCAGATGTTTCTAGAGTTAGGAGGCTTGCTTTGGGTCAGTTCGCAGATTCTAAAGCACTTTTAACATTTCATTCAGAAATGTACACCAGCATCCGTTCATCCAGTCCTTAAAAAACTGCTGAGGTACTTCTGCATCTCGAAGATTCTGATTCAGAGACCACATCTTCTTATTCGTTTTACCATTTGTCTCCCAGCAAATGCTAGAATGTAGACTCCATGATGACTAGAATTCTGTGCATTAACTGTTGAGTCTCCAAAACCTGAGAGCAGTACCAGGGATGAAATAGACGATAAACTGAATAATTGAAGAACTGAAGCAGGCAGGCCTGTGATTAGAAGTTCCTGCTAAAAGGGGCGCCTGGGTGGCTCAGTCTGTCAAGCATCTGACATAAGCTCAGGCCCTGATCTCATGGCTCATGAGTTCGAGCCCCACATAGGGCTCTGTGCTGATGGCTTGGAGTCTGGAGCCTGCTTCCGGTTCCGTTCTCCCTCTCTCTGTCCCTCTCCTGCTCACCCTCTGTCTCTCTCTGTCTCTCTCTCTCAAAAATAAATGATCATTTAAAAAAAAAGTTCCTGCTAAAAGCAAAAATTAATACCGTGGAAGACGTGGTTTTGAAGGATATGGCACGTTGCCAAGGAAATGGGGGACTGTTAAGCCCCTGAATTCATAAGACCATGAAGGTAAATACTGCTGTGGGATAAGAAAAGAGGAAAACCTGAGGTGTGCTTTGTTAACTCTATATATACCAAGGGGGTTGAGAAGGGAATATTTAAAAACCATAGAACTGAAAGATACCAAAGCTAAAGTTACAGAGCTTAAATACAAGAGTATTTGGAGAAGATAGGAGAGTGTCATTTGTTTGATACGGCAAATACGGAACAATTTTAAAGCTTGACACAGTTAAAAAAAAAAAACCAAAAAAACAAAAACCTGGGCAATCCTTTTTCTAAGGGGAGTCAGGAAACCTTAGCACCAGCAAAACTGAGTGTTTTGGACAGGTCCATTTGTATTTTCCAAGTTCCTTTTGAGCTTCATAGCAGGGCACCAAGTGCCTGGGATAAGAAATGAAGTCCTGTAGTGGATATCAGACTGACTAACATGAGATCGAGTAAGTATTCACTGAAATGAAATGGCAGTTGTAGGTGAGAAGGCCACACTGGGGAGATAACACATGATATCGTCACATCACTTTGAAAGCCTGAATTCATTTGGTCACTTTGAGGGACTCAAGTTTGTGGAGATAGCACTCACCCATCATCTCCTCTCCTTTCCTTCCTGGGGTCCTGGAAGTCGAGGGAGTAGCAAGCACGGAGAACCGGAGGGGCTCCTTGTTAATCCCTAGAGAAGGGATGGGAGAGGTGTGGAAAAGTCTTTTGTTTGTGCCCACTCTGTCCCCGTCATTTCCTTTTGCCTGCCAACTTCTAGTACTGCGCTTCGATGCGTATAATCATTCTTTGAACGTACAGTGGGAGGGAGGTGCATCAGGAACCGTATGATTGGGTTAAAGAATGACTGGATAAAGTTTCCTGCTCAGCAGTTACTCAAGGGTGGGAAGGAAGAACGAAAGACAAAGAACTGCTAGCCCATTGCAAGGGCTGAGGAGGATCTAGATGTAGAGACGGTCTCAATCAGCAGCAGGCAGTTAGGCCTGGCAGGGTGTGGGCGTC